TTTCACTTCATATCTGTGAGGCCCCCATATGCATGTGGAATAAACATTTTTCTCCTGTCAATCTTGTCAGTTTATTTTGAAGGGCCCCAATCATTGAACCTAAGAGGGTAGGGGAAAAAGTTTTTTTCCTCCCCAACAGTAGGCAAATTCTAGACCATTTTCTCTGCCATTTCTGTTTGCTGTACTTAAAAGAAACCCCTTTGGCAAGGGAAGCATGGCTGGACTTTCTGTTTCACTGCACTGATGATACCATGTTTCGATAACATGTCACAAATTAATTATTCAATTTATGAAAATAACCACTTATAGATGATACGCACTCTCAGAAGGATACTCTGCAGTTTCTCTCCATATTCTTGCTACTCAAAGTGTGGTCCAGGGACCAGCAGCATCACCTGGGACCTTGTTAGAAATGTGGACTCTGAAGCCCCAACCCAGACGAACTGAATCAGGACCTGCACTTTAATGAAATTCCCAGGTGATTTGTGTGCACATTAACATTTGAGAACCCCTGCTTTGAAGAACACAGTAAATTGGGAAAAGGGAGCCACTGTATTAACCACTTCAGCAGGATGCTCAAAGGCAACAGTTCGTCAGTGACAGCAGGGAGAAGTTCATACCTTGGTGTTTGGTCCTCCTCGTCGTGGGTGTCTTTAGGGTATAACATGATGTCCTAGAACCTCTGAGAAGAGAGGAAAACACTTTCTGGTTTTCATGGAGCATAAGGGTTTTCCAGACATAATACAGCCAGCAGAGAAGGAAGTGAGAATGATGATGAGATGGGTGGGCTGTGCAGGACTAGTCTAGGGTGAGTGGGAAAACCTAAGGCGAGGGGATGAGGATTACTGAGGGGGTCAGAGATGAGCTTTAAAGCAAGGAAAGGAATGTCCACTTAAAAATACTGTTACATCATGCTTGTAATCCTAGAACTCTGGGAGGCTGAGGTGGGAGGATCATTTGAGCTCAGGAGTTTGAGACCAACCTCAGCAAGAATGAGACCCCATCTCTACTAAAAATAGAAAGAAATTAGCAGGACAATTAAAAAAATATATAGAAAAAATTAGCCGGGCATGGTGGTACATGCCTATAGTCCCAGCTACTCGGGAGGTTGAGGCAGGAGGATTGCTTGAGTCTGAGGTTGCTGTGAGCTAGGCTGACACCACGGCACTCTAGCTAGGGCAACAGAGTGAGACTCTGTCTCAAAAAAAAAAATACTCTTGTAAACAAGGCAGTACATAAAACCCATGCTAACTCCAAAATCACCGGGATAGTCAATCCTGTCTTTAAATCAGTGAGTAGCTTAGAAAAAAAATATCAGGCATCTTTAGGCAGGATAAGCCAAGGACTGGCAAATATCCCCCAAAGACCACACAGGGTTCTGTGCCCGTATGTTGGGAGGTGCTTACAGAGGCTGTCATGAGTAAGTCAGCAGATAAAAGCCAACCCAGAACAGGGGCACTTTTGAGATAAGAGCAGGAAAACGTCTCTTTAATTACTCTGCTTCTGATGCCTCAGTTAATGTCATGTTGGTAATAAAGAAGACAGGAAATGATGACGTTAATTAGAGACTGGAGTGTCATCAGAGATGACGGCCAATAAATAGCATGGCAGTTTCCATTTTATTACCTTACCCTTATTAATTTTTCCAGCTTTGATCAACACAGATATGCCATGCTTCTGAGTTACCAAACAGTAGCATTTTTGAGGCTTAGCGAGACCCGGCTTTCCAATTTTTTATTTGTTTACAAAACCCTCCTTGGGATGTTTGCATAAACAAACATAAGTTCACAAATGTTTCTCCTATCTCCTATCTGCATATGAGCAAAATGAGACTGTTCCCAAACAGGCCCTGGAAAATGCCCAGGACAAATGATTACTCAGTGAAAAGTAAAACGGTTTCAGTCATTCTCCCTCCTCCACAGGAGAATAGTGAAGTCCTCCACCGACTATTCACTTTATAGTGTGAATAGTCTGAATACGGTAGGCCACAAGTGATTAATCTGGTGAAACTAAGAAGAAATAAAAAGTTGATAAGAGGGAAAGTATATTAAGGGGAGTTTCCCTTCTAAGAAGAGGGGTTTAAAATTCATTGACTTTTCTTTTCCAGTCAATTTTTTTTTGTTGTATTGGCTTTTTTTTTTTTTTTTTTTTTTGAGACAAAGAATCGCTCTGTTGACCTGGCTAGACTGCCCTGGCATCACTGCAACCTCAAACTCCTGGGCTCAAGCGATCCTCCTGCCACAGCCTCCTGAGTAGCTGGGACTACAGGCATGCACCGCCATGCCCGGCTATTAATAATTTTTCTATTTTTTGCAGAAATGGGGTCTCGCTCTTGCTCAGGTACCAGATGTTTTAAAACACCAATTTCCATTTCTTTTATTACATGCAATTTGTAGATGCAAAGGTTACAAGACTTATTTTCAAAGTTACAATACTTACTTTCTTTTGGAGTGGGAAGAAAATAAGCACAGGTTGGGTGCCCATGCAGTGCACTGGGCACCGGGCACCCTCAGCATGAGTGAGATATTAATGCCACTTGGCAGGTGGGGAAACTGAGGTTCAGAGTGATTATGTAACATTCCCAAGGTCACACAGCTAATGAGAGCTGGGCAGAGCCAGGATTTAAATGAGGTCTTCTGACCCCACATTCAGTTTTCTTTTCACAACTCTAAAACGAAGCTTTCTCAACTCTGAAGCAATGTACAGCTCTCTCCTACCTGTATTAGTCATTCTTTTTTTTTTTTTTTTTTTTTTTAGTACTAGATGGGAAGATCAACGTATTAGTCATTCTTTATAAATGATACTTTGGCAAATTTCCTGTGGTAAATGGATGTCTATGATCTTGTTTTCTTTTCACCTCACTTATTTATTTACAAGGTCTGTTGTGTGATGTCTACTGGTGCTGAAAGTAGTAACTAAATTATTTATGGTGAGAGCTGGAAGACTGAGACTAGGTATTTGTGTTTGATGTTAGAGTCTGGAACTTGTTCCCCAAATCTTGAGCGCTTACTCTCTGTATTAGGGCAGAACAGGGGGGTTTGCATAATCCGTGGTCTCTGCCTTTGGAGAGCTTACAGTTTAATTGAGACGGAGAATGTTACACCTACTAAGATGAAGCAACAATGAGCTGAGATGTGCAGCAGGCAAGACCAGGTGTTTTGCACCCCTGTGCTAGCTTGAGTCTCAAGCATTTGTGCTAAAATTCTTGATTTAATGAATAAACAGGGCTTCGGAGGAGGGAGCTATCATTGTGAACTTGTGAGGACAGGGAAGGCTTGGGGATAGATGTGGGTCTTAGGACTTATTCTGTGGTGAGGCTTGGGTGGGTGGGGGAGTGAGGGTGTAGGAAATAACAAACTAGTATTACTGCTGTAGATCTCTTTCTCTTATCATCAACTATCTCAGACAAAACTGGAGTCAGAGAGATTAGACTGTGAGAAGAAAAGGGATAACAGATGTCCATAAACAAATAGTTTAACCGTAAATGTGATTGCTGAGCTCATAAATTTGTGGCATGTGGGAAGATCAGTACCAGCCACTACCTTGTCATCTCATCTGACACCTGCGTCTCGATGGAAATCATCTCAGAACAGATTGTGTGTTGTAATTAAAAAACAAAAAATGTTCTGTGTAGACATGCTGGGCCAAAATGGCCATCCTGGAACAACTGGAGTTTTTGCTACAGTTGATTCAAATACACTTATAAATAGTTATTTTAAAATTCTGTTTAAAGGAAGCATAAACAGCAGATTCTTACATGCAGGATATGAGATATGGATCCTGTTGGGTAACTTTAATAATTCTCAGCCCACCCTCATGGTTTAACTGGGTTACCCATTCTGTTTTCCAGTTTCTTTTCCTGTCCTGGATAGGAATTGGGAAAATTAAACCACTTTTGTCTCTACTTCTTTGTCTCTCTACTTTTGGCTGGGTATAGTCAATCAGGAAATATAAAGTTTGTTTTATTCATGTATATTCTCATTTAAGCTCAGAACATGACCTTGGTTTCTTTCCTTTTTTCAATAAGGAGAGAAAAATACCATCTGGAGAAGGAAATTTCTATACCTAGATTGAAACCTTCTTCAACACCTTTGTTAACCTCTAGAGCAAGAGAATCTCAGTCAGATCTTTGAGAAATATCTCCTATATTATTTTGGCCTATCAGTTCTTGTGATGTCAGGTGAAGCTGTGCACAGTAGACTTCTATTTTAGCAATAGATTATGCTACTGATAAAATGAAATTATAATTCAAAATAGATATTAAGATATCATAGGACAGTATTAATAATTGGCAATTACTGTACCTTTACTGTGTGTCAAGCACTCTGTTAAGTGAATTATAATCATTCTCATTTATTCTTCACCAAAACCCTGGGAGGAAGATGTATTGTTCCTACTTTATAGATGAAAAAACTAAAATTCAAATAATTTGCCCAAGTTCACATAAACAATCAGTGGCCATGCCAGGATTAAAATCTGTCTCACACCCTGTGATCATAACCTCTTCACATACTGCCTCACCTTGGGTGAGTTGAAAGTCAAGCAGAAGAAACTGTTTTTGGTAAAGAGATGGGTAAGATTTGGGTTTTATAAAGTTCCAGAATGTTCCTGTCTCTTGTTGGTGTTTCCTGGGCAGCAAACCTTGCACCTTCTATCACTGCTGTAGATCCTTGAAGGTCATTTCACTTTGGGGTGACTGGAATTGTGTTCACAGAGTCTGGTCTCACCTTGAGGAGGCTTCCAAGGTGTGGCCCATCCTGGCCTAGAGGAGTCACTGTAGGCCCAATGCTGACTGTTCTGCACTCCTGCTGTCTCATAGAGGAGACTGGGGATTAGACCTAAAATGTTAACATAAAGGTTCCATCGTTTCAGACAGACCCTCAGAGACCACACTTATAAACTATAATGGTAGAATCAGTCATCTTTAGTAAAGTTTTGGTGAAGGCCAAGGGCTCTCTGAATCTATCTCGACTAATATACTCTGTTGTCCTTTTCCTGTTGCAGGACATCGAGGCCTATGCGACCATTCTCTAAAGTATTTAAGCTCCAGAATCACAGAGAGGAAGCTGCAAGGCTCCTGGATGCCTGCTGGCGGAGGGAATCTAGAGAAACCATTCCTGGGGCTGCGCAGCCCGGTCGTGCCCTTGTTTAGCCCTCAGAATGACCATCACTCAGCCCATGCCGAGAACAGCCCGCTGAAGCCCAGGGTCGTGACTGTGGTGAAGCTAGGGGGGCAGCCCCTCCGTAAGATCACCCTGCTTCTCAACAGGCGGTCCGTGCAGACGTTCGAGCAGCTCTTAGCGGACATCTCAGAAGCCTTGGGCTTTCCGAGATGGAAGAATGATCGTGTCAGGAAACTGTTTAACCTCAAGGGCAAGGAAATCAGGAGTGTCTCTGATTTCTTCCGGGAAGGGGATGCTTTCATAGCCATGGGCAAAGAGCCGTTGACCCTGAAGAGCATTCAGGTGGCTATAGAAGAACTATACCCCAACAAAACCTGTGCGCTGACATTGAGCCAGCACAGCCGCGTCCCTTCTCCACGGCAGAGGAGCAGGCTTTATAGCAAGGCTCCAAAAGGGGACCACCACTGTGGGGACCCCGAGACTGCCAAGAGCTGCAGTGAGGCTGCAGGCTGCAAGATGGTCATCAGGCACCAGGGGAAGACGCCCGTGGAGCTGGCGCTGGAGGACAGGGCAAGGGCCCAGAAGAAGTGGGCGAGGGGGAAACAGGAGCCTGAACCCGGTAGCAAGCTGCCCGAGGAAGCCACTCTGGAGGACAGGCATGCAAAGGGAGAGAAGCACCTGGGGGTGGAGATTGAAAAGACCTCGGGTGAAATTATCAGATGTGAGAAGTGCAAGAGAGAGAGGGAGCTCCAGCAGAGCCTGCAGAGGGAGAGGCTCTCCCTGGGGACCAGTGAGCTGGACATGGGGAAGTGCCCCAGGTATGACGTGGAGAAGCTGGTGAGGACGAGAAGCTGCAGGAGGTCTCCCGAGGCAAACCCGGTGGGAGAGGAGGAAGGGTGGAAGGGTGACAGCCACAGGAGCAGCCCCAGGAACCCCACTCAGGAACTGAGGAGATCCGGCAAGAGCACGGACAAGAAAGAGGACAGAGACCCGCAGGGTCAGGAAAGCCATCCTCAGGGGGCATCCAAGGCCAAGAAGGACCTAGCAGAAGTTCTACCCGTCACCGAGGAGGGGCCGCGGGACGTGAAGAGAGACACCAGGCACGTTTGCAGGAGCAAGCATGGCGGCTGGCTCCTGAGAGAGCGCCAGGCTGACGCCGAGCGGCTCCCCAGACCCCGCGGGGAGGAGAAGGAGGCAGAGAAGGAGAAAAAGCCGGCGGCGTCTGTGGGGAGAAAGACGGCTCTCAGAGACGACCAGCCTGTGAGGGGAGAGAAGGAGCCCAAGACGAGACCGGAAGAGAGCCGGCAGGAGCGGCCGGGCTGCCGGAAGTCGCGGCCCGCGGGCGTCCTGGCGGCTGACGTGGAGAAGCACTACGAGACCGGCCGGGTGCTCGGCGACGGCAACTTCGCGGTGGTGAAGGAGTGCAGGCACCGCGCCACCAGGCAGGCCTACGCCATGAAGATCATTGACAAGGCCCGGCTCAAGGGCAAGGAGGACATGGTCGACAGTGAGATCCTGATTATCCAGAGCCTCTCGCACCCAAACATCGTGAAGCTGCATGAAGTGTACGAAACGGAGACGGAGACCTACCTGATCCTCGAGTACGTGTCGGGCGGGGACCTTTTTGACGCCATCATAGAAAGTGTGAAGTTCCCCGAGCCCGACGCTGCGCTCATGATCATGGACTTATGTAAGGCCCTTGTCCACATGCACGACAAGAGCATCGTCCACCGGGACCTCAAGCCGGAAAACCTTTTGGTAAGCCATGATTTTTGATGCTATATGGAAGAGGGTGTTTTAAAAATATTGGATAAAATAAATATTAATTGCTTCGTACTGTTGCCTTTACATACTAGGAACATTACCTGTATATTAACATACTTATTCTGGTATTTAAAACTTTCATTATAGTTCATAAAGGGTTTTTGTAAATTTCAGATTATTACAGGGGCGTAAGTGTTTTTGGTTATGTGGATTGCTTTTTAAAAATTTTTTATTTTATTTTTCAGCATATTATGGGGGTACAAATGTTAAGGTTATGTATATTGCCATTGCCTCCCTCCACCCTCGAGTCAGAGCTTCAAGTGTGTCCATCCCCCAGATGGTGCACATCACACTCATTATGTATTGGATTGCTTTTATAATGCTTGAGTCAGGGTTATGAGTGTGCCGGTCACCCAGATAGTGCTCATTGTACCTCATTAGGTAGGTTTTCACCTGTCCCCCACCACCCGGTTTCTTGCCATTGAGTTTTATTGCCCGCTATGCACATGTGTGCTCATCAGCTGGTTACAATTTAATAGTGAGTACATATGGTGTTTGCTTTTCCATTCTTCAGATACTTCACTTAGGATAATTGGTCTTTAGTTTTCTTTTTTGTTGTGTCCTTTTCTGGCTTTGGTATCAAGGTGATACTGGCTTCATAACATGAGTTGGGAAGGATTCCCTTCTTCTTGATGCTATGGAATAATTTCTGCAGAATAGGTACCAACTCTTCTTTGTAGATCTGGTAAAACTTGGCTCTGAATCCACCTAGTCTGGTTTTTTTTTTGTTGTTGTTGGAAGATTTTTTTTTTATTACTGCTTCAGTGTCATTGCTCATTATTGATTTGTTCAGGAGTGCTATTTCTTCCTGATTGAGTCTTGGGAGGTTGTGTGTTTCTAGAATTTGTCCATTTCTTTTACATGTTTGAGTTTGTGTGCATAGAGATTTTCATAGTAATCACAGATGATATTTTGTATTTCTGTGGTATCAATTGTGGTATCTCCTTTTTCATTTCTAATTGAACTTATTTGAGTTCTTTCTCTTTTATTCCTGGTTAATCTAGCAAGAGTTCTGTCAATTTTGTTTATCTTTTCAAAGAACCAATTCTTTGTTTTCTTGATCTTCTGTTTAATTTTCTTGTTTTCAATTTTGTTTAGTTCTGCTCTGATCTTAGTTATTTCTTTTCTTCTGCTGGCTTTTCCTTTCCTAAGAAACCAAGTTTCTTAGGGTGTGTCATTAGATTGTTAATTTGTCTGATCTTTCTGTCTTTTCATTGTAGGCATTTAAGGCTATGAATTTTCCCCTTAGAACCGCTTTTGTTGTATCCCATAGATTTTGATAGCTTGTGTACACTTTGTCATTTAGTTCAATGAATCTTTTAATTTCCATCTTAATTTCATCATTGATCCAATAATCATGCAACAGCAGGTTGTTCAATTTCCATGACTTTGTGTAGAATTAGGTATTTCTCTTGGAGTTGATTTCTAGTTTTATTTCACCATGGTCTGAGAAGATACATGGAATGATTTCAATTTTGTGGCCTAAAATATGGCCAATCTTGGAGAATGTTCCATGTGCTGATGAGTAGAATGTATATTCAGTGGTTTTTGGATAAAATGTTGTGTAGATATCTGTTAGGACCAATTATTTCATAGTCCCACTTAGATCCAGTGTTTCTTTTTTTATTTTCTGCTTGGATGGTCTGTCCAGTTCTATCAGTGGGGTGTTGAAGTCCCTGGCAATTAGAATACAATGTTGCTGTTTATCCCTCTATTTAGATCTAGTAGGGGTTGCCTTATGAATCTGGGTGCTCCTGTGTTAGGTACATAAATATTTAGGATTGTTATGCCTTCTTGTTGAATTTCTCTCTTCACCATTATATAATGACCATCTTTATCTTTCTTTACTATTGTTGATTTAAAGTCAATCTTATCTGATACAAGAATGGCTGCACCTGCTTTCTTTTGGTTTTCATTTGCATGGAATATATTTTCCATCCCTTGACCTTGAGTCAGTAAGTGTCCTTGTGGGTTAGATGTATTTCTCAAAGACAGCAGATAATTGGCTTGTATTTTTTTATCCATTCAGCCAGCCTATGTGTCTTGCGTGGGGAATTCAAACAATTTACATTTAAAGATAGCATTGATATGTGGGATGCTGCTCTGTTCATCCTGTTGGTTAGTACCTTATTATTTTGTTTTACCTCTTACACTGTTTATTTGAGCTCTGAGCTTTAGCTTTTGGGTAGTTTCACACTGGAGGATGACCATTGTGTTGATTCATGTAAAATGCAGTACTGAGTATTTCCTGCAGGGCAGGTTTGATCTTGACAAATTCTCTAAGTGTTTGCTTGTCTGGAAATGTCTTTATAAAACTTGGTTTTGCAGGATACAAAATTATAGGCTGACAGTTGTTCTGTTTAAGAAGACTAAAGATGGGACCCCAGTCCCTTCTGGCTTGTAAGGTCCCAGTTGAAAAGTCTGCAGTTAGCCTGATTGGTTTTCCTTTGTAAATTACTTGATCTTTTTGCCTTGCAGTTCACAGGAGTTCCTTCTTAATATTGACTTTAGCCAGTCTGATGACTATATAACTTGGTGATTGACTCTTTGCAATGAATCTCTCAGGTGTTCGTTTAGCTTCTTATACTTGGGTGTCTAACTCTCTAGCAAACCAGGAAGTTTTCATCAATTATACCCTCAAATAGGTTTTCCAGCCCTTGTGCATTGTCTTTTTTTTTTTTTAACCTTCTCCACCCCCCACCCTCGTGCATTTTCTTCTTCTCCCTATGGGATGCCTATGATTCTTATATTTGGGCACTTTACATAATCCCAAATTTCTCATAGGCTTTGTTTTTTCCTCTTAACTCTTTGTTCATTATTTTTAACTGACTGATTTAATACAAAAGAGTTGTCTTCAAGCTCTGAGATTCTTTCTTCTGCCTGGTCTAGCCTATTCTTAAAACTTTCCACTGTGTTTTGTATTTCCTTAAATGAATTTTTCATTTCCAGAAGTTCCCTTTGATTTTTCTTTAATAAGTCAGTCTGTTTGGTGAATTTTTCATTAATATCCTGAATTGTTTGTCCTGTTTCTTTGAGTTAATTTTCCATTATCACTTGGATTTTATTGAGCTTCCTTACAATCTATGTTTGGAATTCTTTATCTGTCATTTTAATATTTTCATTTTGGTTTATATCCATTGCTAGTGAGTGGGTGTTCCCTTTGGGGTGTCCTTTCACTGATTTTTCATACTTTTGGAGTTCTTTTGATTCCTTCTCATCTGGCAACATGATTGAGTTCTGGGGGTACTGAGTCTGACCGGTGTGTCTGTCCCCAGGTCCTGAAAGATCAACTCCTGACCATGTGAGGGAGAGGCTGGTCCTGAGTTGCTTATGGGGTGTTCAGGCAGGTTTAGTGACCCTCTCAGGTTGCCTCTATCCCGTTGTCTTCACCTGTTCTCAGCAGTGTGAATTATATGGGTCCTCTAGCTTATCTTTGAGATGGCAGATGGTGCCTGTGAGTACAAATCAGCCATGCCCTGTTTGGTTGAGTTGATAGATGCCGTGATGGGCTGTAGAGTTGTTCTCCCTGTTAATGGTTGGTGTGTGCATGAAAGAGCCAACTGTCAAGATGTTCTTTTGTGTCCATGGTAGGCTCTGGTCTACCAGGTGGGGCACTTAAGTGTGCCAAACTTTACAAGGGACCCTGTAGGTCCCAGGGTGTTGCTTGATTTCCACCACAGCAAAGGTGGGTGGAGGAGCAAAGCAGATTGTGATTAGAGTGCACGAACCTGTAAGGCTTCGCAAACCCTTGGCTGAGCCCAGAGGTTGCTTTTCTGGCCACAAGGGGGAACCACTGGGAGGAATGTCAGGATAGGCTCTCAAGACAGGGTGGGCTATCTGCAGAGGAGGGGCCTAAACTTTTGATTGTTATGACATTGGGCTGGCATCTTCCCACCCTAATTCAGCTGGGCAGTTTGCTGTAGGGAGTGGTGGGTGCTTTCCCAGATGAACATGCCTCTGACCTTCACAGCGCTCCCCTATCAGTTCTGTCCACATGGGCTCCGTTGCCACTGAGTCCAGCTCTCAAACCTACTCCTGGGCTGTGTGTTTAACCAGTAGTGTGTGTCTTTGTGCAATGTCGGTAGATAGGGTGCTTCTAGTTTGGGCACCCCTTGTCCACTACCAGTCCTCAACGGAAGAGGTGTGAGTCCCACCTCAGCCTGGAGTACATACCTGTTGAAGAGAAGTGGCTGCTCACTAAATTCTGATTCAAACCGCTCACCCAGTTGTAATAGGTCGGGGGAGGAGCCACAACTCCCAGTCAGCCCACATGCCTGGGTGTAGAGCATTTGGTTGCTATAGATATCAAGGCTGAGTTCTTCCTCTCCAGATGACACACTGAAATTCAATATGGAGGTTCTCCTCTGTGGGTACGGGGTACTCTCCCAGAATGCTGCTTCTGGGAACTCCATAGAACTCTCCTTTCCGTTCTGTCCACATGGGCTTCCTCGCCTTTGAGTCCAGCTCCTAGACCTCACCTCTCTGTACCCCAGCAACCTGCTTGGGTCTGGGGACACTAAGTCTGGCCTGCTTGTCTGACCTGCTGGTGTACAACCATATGAAATGTGAATAGGCAGGGAGCTTCCAAATTGGGGGCCCTGTGACCACTTCAGGACCCCAAGGGAAAAGGCGTGGGTCTTACACTTCATGGGAACTTCAGTCTGTAGCATGCACCTGCTGGGCAGGCAGTTGATAGCCCAAATCTTGGTTGAAACTGCTTTGTCCATTGAGTGGATAGGGGAGGGACAGGGAAGGAAGCATCTGAATGGGAGAAACTGGTTCTCTCATCTCTTGCATCACTCTCCTAGGAGGGGAACCCCCACAGACTGTCCAAGCTCCTGGACATGCAAGTTCTTCCCACTATTCCATGTTTGCCAGCATGCTTGGGTTCGTGGGGTTGGAAAAGGGAAACTTAATGGACTACTCGCCACCAA